TGGTAAAAAGAAAATCATAAAACCAGAAACACAATTAAAAAGTACAGATGCAGTGGATTATCACTGGCATAGTGATGGTAATTTATATATAGCCAGACATACAAAATGGTAACACATATTTCCTTAAGGAAAAGAAGGAAGCATTGCCTGTAAAAGTTAAATTCACAAAAAGGATTTTTCTCAAAATTATTTTGAAATAAGCTAAAGAGAGCAAACTGGTGAAGTTATCCTTAATAATCTCATGAAGATTTTTAATACTACGTTATAAAGGCAATGTAAACCAATGATAATTGTCAGTGTTTGGACAGAACAGCTCAACATTAATCATACATTACAAAGAATGCCCCATCATTTAACAACACATCAAGTACTAAGAAATAAGCACTATGCTTTGAGTTGCTACAAAGATAAACCGGCAAGTTGTTTGTGAGATATAAATTAATTTCCCAGAAAATCATATTTAAAACACTAACCAAGCAACAGCTTATGTATAGAAGAAAGTGTAGTTAAGTGGAAGATATTATAAAGCAAAATAGCAATCAGCAAACATTTTTTAAGTACTTGCCTGTGCAATGCACTGAATGTAGAAATAAAATCCAACAGAAACAACAACAACAAAAAATCTTGGGAAGATAAAACAAAAAACTGCAGGGAAATAAAATAACAGCACATTATAATGAGTTTACAAGTTAAAGATAATGCTTATTATTTCAAGAGAAATGATAGAACACTTAAGACAAGTATGAACAGAGTAAGTTAACAAAGGGTATGTAGAATCTTAATTACCTGAGAATTAGGAACATTGTTGTATTGATTATTTTAACATCTATTTATTTAGTACCTTCTATGAGCATCAGTAGGATGCAAAGAAAAATAAATTTGGAGAGAGCTTCAACCTGTACAAATAAAAAATAAACATTTAAAACAAAGTAGAGTGGTGGAAAATGGTATGTGTAATCAAAGAAGTAAAATGGTCAGAGTCTTCCATTTCTGAAAACATGGTAAATTGAGCTGAGGTTGACCCTTCTCTTATATAACTACAGAGAAACAGGAAGAAAAAACAGATTCTATACGGTTATGCTAAATGTGTGTGTATATACACACATGTAATTAATACATGTATTTCCACATGTAAATACATACATGTATACACACATAAATACATACACATGTGTACATAAAATTATATGTGTGTATTTATAAATACACATATGTAATTTTATGATTACAAAAGGAAATAAAAGTCCGAATACCAGAACAGGACAAAACTCAAAGCAAGAAAGTGCTATTGTAGCCCTGGGCTTGGAGGTAGAGAGTGGTGTGTTAGTGTCTGTTTCCACATGTCAAGAAAATGGTCAATGACTTGTATACAAAGTGCCACTGTGAGAAAGGAGCTGAAACTGAGATATATGGATGAAGTCTAGGCCTTTAAAGGATTGACCCATACAAAGAGGACAGAAAAATAATTTGCACTTGTTTGGAGAAATAACAAGCAATCCTTCTGCTTCCTCTAAGCTCTGGATGTGAAGGAAAGATGTGTCTCTGATGAGAAATACATGTCTGAAGCCCATTAGACCCAGAACAAAGTGTGACGTCAAATTACTCTATAGAAGACTACATCAAAAAATAAGTCCAAAATAATTCTAGGTTGTAATAATAGTCCACAAATCTATGAAATCCCTACTGTCGATGAATAAGTGAACATTGCTCTGCAAGAATATTTCACAATTTAAGGTGCTGGGATTCTCACAGAGGGAGAAAACAGAACAGAAACAAACAACCCCAAACTGAAATTGAACACACACAAAACTATAAAACACAAAGGGATGAAAAATAAAGAAACAAGAAAACAGCATGAAGCAGAATAAGCCAATATAATACAAGGGAAAATTGATTATATAAAAAGAAAGAATAGAGAGGAAGCATCTGAGAGAATTTATGAAACTGCTTTTCAAATATTTAAAGGGGGGAAAAACAAAGGAAGAGAACTTTAAAAAAGAATGATTTTTTTTTTAATGATCAAGTAGACCTTGTAAACATGACAAAAACGATCATTGAAATCATATATTATGGGTACAAGTTAGACATAGGAATAAATGGAGAGAGATAGAGAATTAATTTGTGAACAATTAATCAAAGGGAAAATAGGTCTTAGAAATAATAAACCCAGAATGGGATAGAGATAAATAAAGAAAAAAATATAAGAGTGATTTTAATAGATAATGATATTATAATGTAACAATTCATATAATAGGGATTTCAGAAGAAGAGACTAGAGAAAAGGGGGAAAGTAATTATTCAAAAAAAAATCAAAGGCAGTGTTTCTTTCAGAATTTAAGAAAGATAAGATCCCTAGATGAAGTAGCACACCAAATCCCAAGTCACTTTTTCTTTTTACTAAATAAAAATAATTGTCCACATTATATTAGAGCTAAAAAACATTCAAAAGAAAAACCTTAAAAAGAGGAAATAAAAATATACCCAAATGAAATGACTATTGGATTAACAAAATTAACCTTGTGTGATGTAGTTGGTTGCTTAATTCAAGATTAATAATTAAAACCCAGTAATATGTCTATATAAAAACAAACCCTATTACAAAATATACTTTTGTAATATTTATTCACAATAATAACAAAAATTAAGTTATATAGCACTTCTGTTTAATTTATAAACAAAATAATGAAACCATGGATATGCCAACTATATAATCATTTCAAAAAGACAAAACTGACATGAATTTCATAAATTCTCCTACAAAGTAATTTGCAAATCCAGTAGAATCCACTTTGACCACCGATTGCCTTTTTCATGAATATATAAAGTTAATTTTCAAGTTCATGTGAGAGGACAAAGAACAAGTGCACACATATACTACAGTATGGTCTCCACTGAAAATCTGTTTTCATCCACTACCATACAATTGACCCTCTTTATCTAATTTACCCACCCCCTCATTCTCCTTCCTCTCTGATTGCCACCATTATGTTGTCAGAATCTAAGAGTTCCTTTTTGTTTTGTTTACTTTGTTTCTTTATTTCCACATATGAGTGCAATCATACCACATTTGTCTTTCTCCATTTGACTTACTTCACTTAGCATAATCCCCTCAATTTTCATACATCTTGTTAAAATGGCAAGATTTTAATTTTTTATAGCTGAGTAATATTCCATTGTGCATATATGTGTGTAAGTATGTGTGTGTATGTGTGTGTGTATATAAATATATATACACACATATAGACAATATGTGTATACATACATATATATATACATACATATATACACACATATATATACATACATATATACATATATATACACACACACACACTACTTGTTGAATCTTGGGAAAGTTCTTTAACCCATATATGCTGAGTTTTCCTGAGCTGTATTACTGTAGATAGCAATAGCTCCTATTTCATGTGACCACTGTTAGGATAAAACAAGATATGTCTGGCAGGATATCCCTAATAATTACTAGCTACATCTATTATATTAAAAAAATACAGATTTACAAGTAAACTACTTATAATTTTATATGATTTAACTAGCACTTGTAAATATTACTTTGCCTGGTATGTTTAATAATGCCTGTTTATAAAATATTTTAATTATGTTAAATGTTTTAAAATTCTTTTTTCAATTTTTAAATAATTTATCACTCTAAAATATATGTAATATTAGCCAATCCCAACCATCTATTTTTAAAATACTATTTCTGAAGAAATGATGAGATCCAAAGCAACTTCTTTTCCCTTGCAGTCAGTAACATTTCAGAATGTTGTTTTTATTCATTTCATACCTTGAAAGTAAGATGGTATACAATCCTAGTTTACTCCATATTTCAAGACGATGCTATGATAATCAAATGTTCATTTTATATTTATAAGTTCAGCCTTTCAGTCTTACTTGAGCAAAGAATAACATTAAGAAGAATTTTTGTGAAAACCATTAACCAGTGTCACTTAGTACATAATTGAAAAGACAAAACTTTGGGTGGATAATAAATAAACATTAAAATCATTATTCAAAAAAAGACACTGGTTTTACCAAATGTAGTTAGTGAAAAACCAAAGTTAGGTAAATAAATGAAATTTAACAGCAAGAGGACATTGTACATAATGCCACTACATGAAAGCTCACTAGCATTTCAAAGTAACTTACTAAAAACTTTAATATTTAAGAAAACATTATGATACACCATTCATTTATTTGTAATTATTATTTTTTATTATCGAGACTGAAGCATCTCTCCAAGATAAATCTAGTTGCTTTTTTGTCCCCATCTCATTTTGGGAAGAATAATATATTTATATATATATAAATATATATATATATAAAATACACCACATAGTATATGTGAGAGAATATTAGGACTTCAGTGAGTTATTCTTTAAAGACGTCAATAAAAGTAAGTACATCTCAGCTCTTATTATAATTTGTTCTATTATTTGCAAAGTATACATATCTGTATTTGCAAAGTATACATATCTCATAGCCATGCAACACCTTAGTTTACAAACTGTTCTAAAACAATGAGTATCCTGCTATCTTTAGTACTGATGAGTAGACTTTTCTCTCATCCAACAACTTACTATATTAAAATTTTAATGGAAAATTCTGAGGTCAACAAATTATTGCTATTAAAAGTCAATAGAATAAAAGGCTTTTACAGATAAAAATTATCTAATAGATGATAATATTAAAATTACTAACTAAATGAGAACATTTACCCTGAAAATAAAAACAGTAAGATTTATTTTTGGTTTTATTAATAAAATTAGAAGATGCTGAAAAATCACAAGTATACAAAGTATATCTTCATTGGTAAGCTGATACACTTAGTTTTGTTTTTTTAAAAACTCTATACAGTTCTTCATTATTTAGATTTTGTCAATCACATGTATTAGAGAAAAGTTACTTTCTTAATATTACACATAATTGCTTTTTTCTTTATCTTAATTCACAGGAATGTATCAAAGGGAATTCTTGCTTACCAATTTGCTTTCTGTACTGATCAACAGGAAGTTTTATAGTGGAAGCATCTTTTCTACCCATCTTTGATCTCCAAAATGCCTGCTGCAAAGAAAGAAAATAATTATGATGAAGTCCTAAAAATCAAAAGGACTATCTACAAACCAGGAATAATTTATTCCATAAAATTCATTTTTAAAAGCAGTGGGAAAAAGTGCCTTTGACTTATTCCCATTAGATATCAGTAAAGAACACAAAATTCTTTCAAATAAATTATTAAGGATACAATTGCTGGTAATTAAATTTTCCAATCATTTGTTCTTGGTAACATTCATTTTATCAAGTATTATCAATGCTCAATTAAATCACACTGTTAGAGAGCATTGTGTGTAAATGTGAAAACCATGTGCTATTTACTCAGATGGGTTAGGGCTGTAGGCTTGCTTTAGGCAGCATATTTCTTTCCAATTACCTACTATGTCACACAAAAAGTAAAGGCTAAAGTTTGGAATTTTAGCTTAGATTCTGTCTTAAAAAACATGACATATGTAACATAAATATATGTCCTATTATTTTAAGTTAAATACTGTGACAAAGACGACAACTTAGCAAAATCCATATTCTCCTTTACTTCCTAACTGAGTTAAACTACATTTCCCAGCCTGAATTCAAGCATGCTGTCAAATTCTTGTCAATAGAGTATAGATGGAAGTGATGTCATTTCCAGAACAAGCAAAAGAAACTCCCATGTAGATTCCTTCATTCTCTTTCTCCTTCCAATTGGCTCTACTTGTTTACCATTTTAGTAGTTTACTGTTATGAAAAATAAATTCTGTTGTGATGGATTCATCACACAATAGCGGGAGTCTATTTATTATATATAGGCCAGAGTAGTGGCTGGAAGTTGTTCCTCACCAGTCCTAGTAAGGAGCTTTAAGATAAAGATGAGGTCAGCAAAAATATAAGCAAATACAGAGTCCAGTAATTTGGGGACACACAAGGTTAGAAAAGTGTACTTCTGGAAAACAATACAGAAAATAAAATTGAAAAAGACTTAAAAACAATGGTCGTGGGGGCACAGAAACCCATCAAGATTTTTTCGTTAAAAAAAAGAGAGAGACAAAGTACAGTAAAGGATGCAACTTTTTCTACCTATACCTATTGTTTCAGATAACCTGGAGAAAACTGCTATTGGGTACATACAGAAAAGTGGAGGAGTTCTGCAGCATAGAAAGAAAGAAAGCTGCTTTGAGAACTGTCTAGGAAAAAAACTGCAGTCTGATGACAAGCATATGAATCTAATAGAAATGACAAGAAGGCTTCTAAAACCTGAGGAGCAGTATTGAAAAGGAAAACAGAAACTTCTTCTGAAAAAAATCTAAATGAAAATCAAGTTTAGGCCTCTAAACTTAAACCAGAGGAGTAGCCCCCAAGGAAGACAAACTGCAGATTTGTAATATCCATTTCATATGTGACCAGGAAGGAGAACTATCCAGATGGCAGAACCATAGAGAACAATGGACAAGGGAATTTCTCTAAAAGATCATAACTAGGATTTAAACAAGAAACCTCTACTGTCAGTACAATGGGCTTTCTCAGTGGTTTCCTGTGCAGCAGGTTTCATCATCACAATGAACCAATGACTCCTGTGTGTTTCCCAGGCTTCTTCCCAGTCTTCCCTTTCTAAATGGGGATGATTATTGCAGATCTACAATCTACAGACATCCTTTGTTCGCCATTATTTACTAGGGGCTTGATGACATGCAAAGAGTAGGTAAATTTCATAGTCTATAAACATCAAGGAGTCACAGTGCAACTTGAGAGGGAGGACTGTGGATTGACTTGAGATCCTTGACACTGTACTGTTACAGAAAAGAGGAGGTACCATTTTACCCAGCCCTCTTACATGCAGCTACCTTGGACTACAAACCCCAGTGTGCCATCCACCTGACTTTCTGAGCAGGGGAGCTACTGGTAACCAGAGGTGGAGCTGAATATGTAACATAGAAGGCAGGTAGGCTCTTGGGCTCTTGCTTCTCCGGCTTTGATTTGCACCCAGGGACTTGAAGGGACTTTGAAGGAGACATGAGGTGGATAGACATGTAAAGACTCTTGAAAGAGACATATGGGTGAGAAATATATGAAGAGACTGTCCTTGGCAGAGACAGGGGTAGCCATTATCTTGATAGGTACTTTGATTTGTATTTTTGCAAATCAAATCTCTTTTTGTCCCAGATTTGCTTGGCCCCTTTTGCTCCTTTATGTTGCCCCATCAAAAGGTGCCTTAGCTGGAAGGGATCATGCTCAGAGAAATAAGCCAAAAAGAAAAAGATAAATACCAGATGGTCTCACTTATAGCAGGAATCTAGAAAACCTAAATAAGGGACCAGGAAAAAGAATAACTATAAGAAAGAAAAAAATTAAAATCAATAAACAACTATAAACCAGAGACACACTATGGGGGTGTGGGGAAAGGAGGAATTGGGGTCAAAATAAGGGGGGTGCAATTGTATGGGGAATATAAAAAAAATTAAAAAAAAACAATGGAAGTAGAATAAAGTAATAAACAAATGAAGGGGAAAAAAAGGTGCCTTATACTTGCAGAAGGCTTTTGGGTCTTACTTTAGGCCCACTCTGTTTGAGTGAGCACTTCCCAAGGAGGGGATGGGTAATTTGGGGAGTTTTACTGGGAAACTATTAATAGGAACAATCTTTCTTTTCTACTCTTTCTATGCACACCAATTCTGTTATAGATCTTTCACACCAAGAGTCTGCCCCTTTGCCTTTGTGTGGCACATGCTGAGCCCCTTTTAGAGCACACACCCCTTAAAAGTTTGGGGTCCCTCCCTGGATGTCTTGGTCATGTGTTAACAGTACTGGATATAGTTAAGTGTGGAATTTTACCATCCTCCTAAATAGGGAGCAGGAAAAAGAATGTGCATGGTTATTCCATGACCAGAAAAGCAGACTATGGGAAAAACTGTTACCTTCTGTTCACTCAAATACATGTCCTCTTTTTCTTCCTAGGCATATTTGACTACATTTTCCAGTTTCCTTTGATACTAGTTGTGAGAAGGTAACCAAAATATTTACTCCTACTAGAATTAACTTAGAAAAACTTTTTATATGTATTCATTGGCTGAAAGGGAAATAACTTCCAGAAGGACAGTGGAAATATTATGAGAAGATGGCAGAGCCTACGACAGCCTGAATCCTGAATGACTATATGGAACAGAATTATTCAACTTGTTATTCAACTTGTTTTCTAATTTGTTTTCCTCTTTCATGCTACTGGGAGAATAACAAATAAATCTGTATCACTTGAACCTTTAGACATTTTGGGATCTCTGTTACATTCAGTAGTACCACTCAAACTAAAACAAATATGTATAGGTGTCTCCATACAAATTAATGCAATCATCAAACTGTAATTTTCCTAGTGAGCATTAGTAAGGGTCTCAAATGTCATATGTATTTGAAATTTATTTAGTTCAAAATGCACTGTTTATCTATCTCTATATATGGCCACACAAATAAGGCAATGCTAACAATGATCTCACTCAATACTGTAAGAGGCATTCCCAAATTAATAATTTCTAATTATGTATATGAAAACTGTAAGTTTAGCTAAAAATCTATTTTCTACTCACATTAATCTTCAGATTTAATACTTATGTATTAACTGGGGATATACAAAGACAAAATGTCAAATAAACTATCTCTCATAAATCACATAATCATTACATTTAAGTTAACATATCCTTAAAATTTCAGAATGAGGGCCTCCCAGGTGGCGCAGTGGTTTGAGCACTGCGCTGTGAAGCTGTCTGCAGCCTCTGCAGTGCCAGTTTGATCCCCGCCGGCTGGCGAGAATCCCACATGGTGTGGCAGACCTCTCCTGTCGTGCCCACTGCTCCCCTCTCAGCAGTGTATTTCTGTCATCTGTCTGTTCTGCTCCCGCTCTGTCTCTGGTGAATCCTCTCACCCTCCCATACCTCTGGCCTGTATCCCAGCTCTGGTATAAAAATAAATAAATCTTTAAAAAAATTTTTTTCAGAATAAAACCAAGGCATCAATTCATCCTATACTTTCATTTGCTAATTCATAACATTAAAAATAACTCTGTTAATACAAGCACCACAAAAATGACAATAAATACAATTTATTCATGTACAAATTCATTTGTATAGTGTTTTGCATTTGTTAATTTTAAAGTATAGTGAAGTTATTTTAAACTTGATTGTGTGATTCTAGAAAAGACATCACTCCATTTTCACAGAGAATTTAGTTTAATGAATAAGCACTAATACATTATTCCCTCTTCAAGGTAGTTTTCTGTTTGCCTTTATGAAAAATGTTTAGCATTTTAAGCAATATACTAAGAATTTCCACCAAATGGTCACTCACTATGCTTCCTCCAATTCCTTTTTGGTCATTTAAACTAATAGCCCAATGACTCAACAAAAACAAAATAAACAATCCAGTCAAGAAATGGGCAGAAGAACTTAAAAGACATTTCTCCAAAGAGGAAATGCAAATGGCCAACAGGCATATGAAAAAAATGTTCAACATCCCTTATAATCAGGGAAATGCAAATTAAAACCACATTGTGATACCACCTTACACCAGTAAGAATGGCACGTATCAAAAAAACAAGCAACAGCAAATGTTGGCGAGGATGTGGTGAAAAAGGAACTCTCCTACATTGCTGGTGGGAGTGCAAACTGATCCAACCATTATGGAAAGCTGTCTGGAGGTTCCTTAGTCTACTGAAAATGGAGCTACAATACGACCCGGCAATTCCAAAGGGATTGGAATCTACCCAAAGGACACAAAAACAGTGATTCCAAAGAACACCTGTACCCCTATGTTTGTTGCACACTATTTCCAATAGATAAAACCTGGAAACAACCCAAATGCCCAAAAATAGATGACTGGATCAAAAAGATGTGGCATATATACACAATGGAATATAATACAGCAATCAAAAAAGATAAACTCATGCCATTCACAGCAACGTGCATGGAGCTAGAAGGAATTATGCTCAGTGAAATAAGCCAGAAGGAAAAAGAAAAAGATCGGCTGGTTTCACTTATAGCAAGAAT